AAGAAAACGTGATCATCTGCTTATCTCATCACAGAGACATCTGACAAAAGTAGTCACACATTCCAAAAGACAGAATCCCTCAGAAGTTATTTTAAAGCAAACCTTAAAATTCAGACAAGGGGGATAAAGGGTACCAACAGTATCTGAAATCTTATGTTACCACAAGCGTTAACTTCTAAAACTAGGATGTGATTCAGCCACTGGTACACCTGATGTAAAGGATCAGCATTCCTTTTCTTTTTTTTTTTCTACCTCTTGTGGCTCATAGATCACAAAATGCTACTTCCATGCAAGCCTGGCAAAGAGTTCAAGGCCAAAAAGTGTAACAGAGCGTGAAAGCATTGCAAGCCAGTTAGTTCCTGGAACTTTCTGAACATTAACCTTCTGTTTTTATAAACAAATGTATGGTAACAAACTCCAAGCTGGAAGTAGTACCTTTTTCAGATTCTCTCTTTTTCAAGAAACAAACAAGCTACTGTAACTGTCAAGTTGCTAACTAGCTAGTTAGTGTGCTACTCCTGCTAAGGATTTGTACATTCACCCCTTTAAATAGTCTTTAAAAGATATTATAAATTATATTTGCAGATAAAATAAAATGCAACTTAAATAATATTTAATTACAAAATAACATCCACTTCTAATAAGATACATGCTTTCTCCTATTCTCATGAATCCATCATGACAGAAACAAGATGAAAAACAGGCACCATGGTATCTTCTTTAGCACATTTACCTTTAATTCTGCTAATTTGAGTATTAATTAATCAACTTCACGAAGTATGCACAACACTGCAATAAAAACCTGGGATATTAGATTCTATAGGCTTAAAATTTCTTTTGCAACCACATTCAGTTATCTTACCTTAACATTGTGCAAATGCATTCAAATAAAAATCCTTAATATATCTTAGCATTTGCTTTTTTATTTCATCAAAATCCATTCCAATCCAACATAATAGCATCTCAAGGTTTACTACCCTGTTGTCTAATTAGTGGAAGAAACCCACACACAAACATCACCTATGTCAAAAAATAAACCACTCTTTGGATCTGCACTAGACACGATAGTAACTAGCTCTCTAGGACTTTGTCTTTTAAACTTGAATTCCTTCAAACAAACAAAATAACCAAAAAAACCCCACAGAAAATTATTGAAACTAAAACCTTTATATATGAGGACAATGATCTGCCAAAAAAACACCTTCCACAAAACAAAACACTTTAAAAAAATACCCAACCATGAATAAGTAGCTCATGATTTTCTGAGAACAAGAGTTTAACTACTGCCTTGTTTCTCTACAGTATATATTTAGCTGGTTAGAATATTTCTCCAAAAAATTCAAGACATCTGAATCAGTACTGACAGTCTTCCTATTTTATTACTGATACATGTGGACACAATACAGCAGACATCAAATAAGCTGGAAAATCATATGCAGAATATAATTTTAAGTGTACTATACAGAGGTGAAAGAGAGAATGTTTTGCATACAAAGCATCACATATAATAAAGACGAATTTCTTACACAAGAGAATATGCATTACTCATTTACTGTAAAATCCAAGCACTTAAGAGAGTGAGTGTGGAAATCAAACAGGACGTTATTCTTTTGCTACTTCTTGAGTATTTTAAGTCAAGTTACATATAACTATTTCCCCCCAGATTTTAAATGGGGGAAAAATGCTGATATGAATCAGCAATGACATTAAATATATATATATATATGCCACCCTTAACAAACAAATACTTGTCTTTTACAAGAACCAGGCAGGACAGTCTGACAAAAAGGCTCCTACATTTACATGCACAAAGTAGTACAGCTGACATCGGACTGCTTTTTGTCTCTTCATGAATTTTACAGGTTTTGAATTGGAAAAAAGCTATGCTCATTTTTTATTAAATTTGTCCATAATCTGTGTTTTCTGCAGTTACTGTTACTATCTACATCTAGTCACTGAAACTGTTTTTCTTCATTTATGGGCCAACATAGTTATTCCACTGACCATCAAGCAGCATATGTGTTGATTCAGAGAGAGCATTTTATCATACTGAACTGCTGTATTTCATCTGAGAGTAAGCCAATAGTAACAACTGAATTTCCCAAGTTAGTCATAATATTCAGAGGGATTTCTTTTGTCTGAACAGTTAATCCTAGGACAACACAAATTAAAAAATAAAGCAGACACTATTTTAATAATCATTTTGGCATCCCTATTATCACATTTATCTTTGTTTATCAATCATGTTGTTTTCTGGTCAAACGGACAGTTTTCACTTCTAAATATGAAATTTAGCTTTAAACATGAAGCATTCAGACATTGCTCTTATATAGGTCAGTAGCAGTTTATAATAAATACATGTGCAAGATGAGCTCATGTTAAGCTTTTAATTCCAGTATGATTACCTTGTATTTCTGAAATGGAGCGATTATAAAGATGAAGCACACTTGCATAACATTTTAACACTACTACTTCCAAAATTCCTTTAAAGATACAATATTGTCTTTAAAATGCCCTATTGCCTTTCACAACCAATTAAAGAATACAAGGCAAAGGGGGAGAAACAAGCGAACACATTAACAGTCCAAAGAATCACTGTGAGATGTTTCTTCACTAGCCCACAGATCAAAATCCATGGTGCAAGAACAGTGATGTTTGTCACAGAACCACAGCTTGTTTTCCCCACTGCCTCTCCCCTTCTCCCAATAATATTTGGCATTTTACTTGGTGCGAGGGGCTGCTAGGGCTCTGTGACACTTAAATGCTCCCAAAGGATCATTTTTTTCCAAAATATTTGGAAATGAACAGCTTACATGCTAGGAAAAGGGCTTTCAATCTCCACTGCTCTGGTTCTTCTAATGACTTTTCTTGTAATTATCCCTAATTAGGGCACTGGAACCATGCAAACCATGCAGTTCCTTTCAGTGGAATAAAGTCACTTTCTCTGAAAGCTTGCAAAACCAAAATTATCAAAACCAAAATTATCTCCTGACCAAACAGAATCCTGCAATGATCCCCATCAGACTTTACCCTCAGACTCCACTATCCTTCAGGTTCAAGTCAAGTCAAAGCTAGGTGTTGACCCTTTCCAAACACATCTGAAACAAACAAGGAAAATAAATGGCTTCCTGGTTCAGATGCAGGAGCAAGCACTCCTGAGGAACACCACTGATTAGTTCACAGAATATGGACTGGAAAAAAAAATAAAATCAAATTAACCTGAACAACCTCCTCCCTACTCATCAACCAAAATTAAAAGAAACATGTTGAGTTTGGTATTTGAATTGGAGTTTTTTTAGGATAAAGTCCTTAGATCTAGAATGGTATTTCAGAAGAGAAAAAATGTGGCATCTACTCTGAACATGCTCATAAGCACTCCTCTGTGGACTGTGATACAGTCACTTTCTGTTTGGTGGTCTGCCAGGTTTGAAGTAAGGACAGAAAGCTGTTCCACATCCCAAATTAATGCCCTAGAGATTGGCTTACACAGCTGATCTGTCTCTAGATCAGTGGAAGTTTAATTATCTGCACAGAAGCTAAAAAAAAAAAAAAAAGAAAAAAGAAAAAAGAATAGTATGGAGACAAAGAAGAGGAAAAAAAGACATTTTCGTTCTTCCTTTTTCAAACTATGAGGAAAATAATCTCTCCTGCCTTTCCCTTCCTTATTTTAGACTGCAGAGACAGGGAGGGAAGCGGAGTTACTGACAAATTTGTTATAATACCATCTTAAGAAAAACAGTATAAATGACAAAACTAGCTTTCATACACATAACTGAGCAAGCAAACAATTTTTTTTCCACAGCTGCTATGCCAACCACTGTTTCAAGCCGTTGGTATAAAGGACTGTAATTTCATTTTAATTTAGGTAGCAGAGCCATTTTCATTTTACACTACAACACAAAGATTAAATGAAACTGAAAAATCTGTGCTTCTTTCAAGTGCTCTAACTCATGACAGTGCTTCAGAACACAAGAAAATTGTTCTTCTTACAGGGAATATACAGGTCACAATCCATATGCTGGACGAAAAGAAAGTTCAGTTCTAAGTTTTTTTAATTGATATATTCATCAGATTACAATATTTACAAAAATAAAGATAGTTATAAAGGAACAGTAAGTCTGTGATATGAAGATTGGAAAGCAAGGAGATGGACATACAAATGTTTAATATTTAGAATATGCCTACCTGACATGAGTATATGCAGAGATACCAACAATTTCTGAGGTGTATTAACTGAGGTACCAAAAGCAGTCTGTTTTTGCTGGCTGTTAGCAAAAAGCAGCAGGATTTGTCACCTTAGGAAGAGCACTACATTAACGCAGCTCTAGTGCTTGTGAAATTCTTCCTTGTTCACTGTCATGGATCACAAGGATGCAGCTGTGTATGTATCTTCCTACTGATCAAAATCCATCTAAACTCCATCTGAGCCTAGTGCTTCCTCTTGGATAGGTGGCTCTGAAGGCCTACACCTAGTCAATCAACACGAGATGGACAGATCTGCATGAAATTGTTAAGTATGAATTTAGGCTCCAGGAGAGCCTGGAGAACTTGTGGTCTTATTTTCAAGTGAACTCCTTCTTTTGGGATGTTAAATACTATAATTGCAGTAAACCCAAAAATTTCTAAACCTACCTTAACACACTGCAAATCTCCAGTATCTCCCATGTTTTCAAGAGCTGAACAATACTTGCTTGGTCAAACCATGTCAGCAGATTGGACTTCCTGCTGGTAAGTACAGCAGTGCTAAAAAGGCAGTGCATATCATGACACACCAGAAAAGAAGCTGTTTCTAAAAAACTGTCTTGAAGTATTTCAATTTTCAAATTAAAAAAAAATAATATTCCTCACTAAGTAGATTTCATAGTTTTCCCTTACACAGCCTGGAAAAGAACTTCTGTAGGAACCTAAAAGCACACAAAACTTGTTGAGCAACTACCAGTCCATGACAGAAAAGGCAGCAACGGAAACGCTGATGCACACAGGCACAGAGCTTGCAATACCTTCATATTAGATGCCTCAGTTTCCAGTTTTGTTAGGTGATTTGAGTTATCCTCTAGCTCTTGCCGAAGGTTGGAGTTTTCCATCTTTAATGCCTCAACTTGCTTTAACAACTGATCATATGAAGCTGCAGCCATCCTGGGCTACTCTCAGCCCTAAAAAAGGCAAGAGAAATATTAAATTTAAACATTTTAGAAGAAAACCCCAAATTTAGCTAACCATAAAATTATCTGCCTCTCTTTCCCATTTACCACTCAACTTTCTAAACATTTAATTTAAAACCATTAAACTAAACTAATAATGCCTAGAACTAATGCCAGTTCAAAGACTTTTTTCAGGGAGCTTCCATTTGATGCATACAATTAAGCAAATGACAGAAGTTCATTAACAACTGCATTAGGGGAAGTCAGAATACATGAAAGAAAGTGATAGCAGTCATATAAAAGCATCCTTCCTATTTGCATTTCAATTCCAACACTAAGAAACTATGCAGATAGTAGACCATATTTAATAATTTTTGGGTAGAAAACAAGCACTATCAACCATAACTAAGAGATGCCGACTTATTTTATGAAATGAAAGATTATCCCAGTGTTCAAAATTCCTAGGAATAGCTCACACTGAAGGAGACATTGTATGAAGGGCAAACAGTAAATACCGAGGAATTTTAACAGAAAAAAAAACATCAAATATAGTAGCAATCAAGTCTTTTGTAAAAATACCCTCTGAGGCATAAAGATTAAAACAAATATACTTACAAAATTCCAACACAAGAAATGGTCATACGAAATACCACCATTCATAGTAGAATGAAAAGATAGAAAGCTATTCTTGATATCAAGATGTCCTGAATTATTTTGGGTAATATTGTGACATAGTCCTAGAACACCATAACAATTATTCAGCCATTACAAAGGAGAAACAAACAAATACTCAAATTTAAATTATAAAATTGAAATTGTTTCCCACTTTCCAAACCAAAAACCATCGAACTTAACTAAAACATGGCTAACCACATTTGAAGTTCTTCACAGCTGATGCTGTCAATTTCTTATTCATCAGCCATTCAAGAGAACACAAGGACGCCTAGCACTTCATACAAGTGCAAGTTTCCTTCCAATGTCATCACAGTAATTTCCTAAATATGTGTCCTGTAACTCAAAGGAAAAAAAATACAAAAAGCTTATGGGACAACATCCTTTTCATCGTTACTGCAGTACTTTGGAAAAGATGAAACAAAAAAAAGCTCTTATTTAGCATTTTCTGTGTATTCTCTCACTAGCCCTTTGACCTTATGCTTGTGTAACTCCTTCTGTAATCAACTTTGCTCTTCAAAGTGACTCTTAATTGAATTATCCAGCCTACTGAAAAATAGATGAAATTATTTTAAAAAGTTCTAGTTCTCCAATACAGATTTTGAAAATTGTGTTTAATCTTTCTAAACTTAAACTCAATGAAACATAAAGAATAATACACACCACTGAAGACAGGAACAGTAACAAAAGCTGCAGTCCAGTTGATATGACTAGTTTATTTTCTTTTCAAGAAGAAAGTCTTCACGCCCTAAGTACCTGTCATTATCAAAGACGGAATAAGGAATAAACCTGCCACTTATGTAATCACGACTTCCATGACACTACCAATAAGCTGAAGAAAAAAAAAAAATCCCTAACAAATTTCTTCTTCAAAATTTGGTCATGCTTTACCAGAGACCTCATTTTTAGGGAAATGAAGGCAATCTGAAACATCTACTCTAGTTTGTGAATTCTGTGCTTTTATCATCAGGCTGTTTCACCTAAAAGGTGGAGAGCTGTCAAAGAGAGTTGTAACAACAACAACAAAATTTAAAACACACATCAAAAAGGGCACAATGTTTCTGTTCTGTTTCACGTATGCTTTTATTTAGTAAGTAACAGTTTCCACTGTTATTAATAAAATCAACAGCTGTAGTCTACATTTCTTTTTGGAACATACACCGCATGGACAATTCTGCATAAACCCAAGGAAAGGCAGAGAGATGTGGAAACATTTTCACATTACTTGTCATAAATTATTATTGTATTGTAATATTGATAGAACGTGTTGGTTTCGACTCGAGTACATCACACATTCATTCATTTACATCTAATTTACAGAAGCTGCTGTGTGCCATGTATTTGACACACATTTTGATTCTAGATAGAATACCTTTTTTTTCTCCCATTATTTTAATTCACGATTAGTATGAAAGGACAGGTAATGATAAAAAAAATCAAGTTTCTCCATTTTCTGTCCACATTAAGGAATTCTCACTCCTGAATTTGGAATTTAAAACGAACAGCCACATTAACAAGAGGCATACACACAACAAATAAAATGGAGAAAACTGAACTAGGGGAGGAGCTACAGTAGAAAGACAGCAACTTCATAGCTCTGATATCTTGAATGCAAAATAAGCTTAAATGTACTTATGTTAAATGAGCAAGGATCCAGTTTGTGAAGGGGAGGTTCGGTTTGTCTTCTCCCCCTCCTGATCTAAGTTCCTAAGCTTCCTTTTGTGTATTTTATTTTCGTAACGTGGAAGTAGGACATCACCACTAAGAGACACCACTCTGCCTCAGACTAGGAGTCACTTCCTGATTTATTCAAATGTCAAACTTTACCCTGTGGGTTTTCAGATAAAAAAAAGTGAGTTAGCTTATTATCACAACCTGGGTAATCCGAAATACCTTTGGTTTTTTGTTAAATAGGTGCCCAAATGGGCAATAAGCGACACTGCCACAGGCAGAAACTCATTCCTGCCAGTCTGGCATGGGGCAGGAGCCACAGTGCCCGACTGCAGCTCTGCTGGTCCCTGAGGTGCTGGCCAGAAAGGTGCCTGCACCAGCAGGCATCACAGGAA